AAGGGCCTGTACAACGCCCTGTCAGCAGCAAAACGCAAGGCGGAAAAAGGACCGCGGCCCTCGCAGGAGGCTCGGGCGCGCCGGAACTAAGAATCGCCTCCTCTACCATTTCCGTACCCACGTACGGACGACCAACCGTCGTCCCAGTACTCATCGAAGGAGTAACCTGCAAAGCACTCATCGACAGCGGCAGCCAAGGGACCTACATCAGCCCGAGCCTAGTCAATAAGCTCAGAATCCCGTGGAGAGCCAAGGAAGAACCATACAGGATTCGCAACTTCGAAGGGGGGCCACTGGGGTACGACGACGGATGGATCAAGCGAGAAACCCAACCACTTCGGGTCCAATTCTCGAACCACAGCGAAGACATCAGTTTCGATATCTCTGAGATAGGAGGAGACGACCTCATACTTGGCAGCGGATGGCTGGCCAAAAGCAACCCACGGATAGACTGGGGTGCACGACAACTGTCATGGGATGACGGGATCAAAGGCATGATTATGCAGATCGCCTCAGCCCATATCGAAGAACTCAACAGTATGCTCAGCGAAGTACCGGCAGAATACCACGACTACGCAGACCTGTTCGACAAAGACAACGACCGCGGACTCCCCCCGCACTCCAAATGGGACCACGAAATACCCTTGAAACCTGGCACGGAGCCACAGTTCAAGGCCATCTACAAACTCAGCCCGGACGAACGAGTAACACTCAAGGAGTACCTCGCACGAATGCTCAAGAAAGGATGGATCCGAGAATCCACTTCGTCCGCCGGCTACCCAATTCTCTTTGTACCCAAGAAAAACGGAAAGAAACGACTCTGCGTTGACTACCGACAGCTCAACGAGATCACGCATAAAAACAGATATCCATTACCATTAATATCGGTCCTCAGGGATCAATTGTACGGCGCAAACTGGTTCACGGCACTCGACATGCCGGACGCCTACAACTTCATCAGGATCAAGGTTGGAGACGAATGGAAGACGGCGTTCCGTACGCCAGAAGGACACTTCGAGTACCTCGTCATGCCCTTCGGGCTCACCAACGCGCCCGCAAGTTTCCAGACCATGATGGACCAGATTCTCAAGGAATTCATCGGCGACTTCGTCGTAGTCTACCTTGACGATATCCTGATCTATTCGAAAACTCGGGAGGAACACTACGAACACGTACGCAAGGTACTGGACAAGTTCCGGGAGCACAACCTACTCATCAATCCCGAGAAGAGCGAATTCCACAAGCAGAAAATCGACTTCGTTGGCTACACAATCACACCCAACCAAGTACACATGCAGACAAGCAAGACGGACGCACTACGCAACTGGCCAGTGCCGACCACCGTCACAGGAATACGAAGTTTCCTAGGGTTCACGAACTACTATCGAGTATTCGTCAAAGGATACGGAGAAATCGCAAAGCCCTTGAACGACCTTACGAAGAAAAACGAACCCTTCGTATGGGGCGAAAAACAGCAAGAAGCGTTCCAAGGACTCATCAACATCATCCTAAGCCACCCAATCCTCCGCATCCCAGACCCCGAAGCACCCTTCGAACTAGAAACCGACGCATCGAAGTATGCGATGGGCGCGCAACTAGGACAACGAGACGAGGATGGAAGGATTCACCCCGTCGCGTTCATATCCAAAACCTTCACAGGACCAGAGAAGAACTACACCACGTTCGAACAAGAACTCATGGCAATAGTTTGGGCCTGCAGAGAATGGAGCGATTACATCAGGGGATCGCCCCATCAGATCATCGTTCACTCCGATCACAAGAACTTGACGTACTTCACCAAGGGAAATAACCTCAACGGAAGATTACTAAGGTGGTACGCAGACCTCTTACCATACGACCTAGTAATTAAGTACCGCAAGGGAACGGAGAACAACAGAGCCGACGCTCTCAGTCGATACCCAGAACACGAGCAGAAGACGGAGAACTTCCCGCTCTTACGGCAAGCAGAAGACGGCACCCTCCGGATCGCCGCCATCACTATCGACACATGGAACATCGAGCTACAGCAGAAGATTGTCGACGAAACCCTCAGATACTCCTCGGAGATCGTAAAGGAACATGGCAACGACTCTCGCTACAACCTCGATAGGATCGACAGAGGTGTCGTTAAATACCGAGGACTCAGGTGGATACCCGAGACGCTGCAACAGGAACTGGTCAAAGAAATCCACGAGCACCCGCTCCATGGACATCAAGGCATCTTCAAGACCCAGCAACGGGTCAAGAAGCAGTTCGACTTTGAGAAACTCAAGGCAGTGGTCACAGGGGTAATCCTCAAATGCGACCTCTGCGCAAGAAGCAAGGCCTCACGACGGAAGCCCTACGGCGAACTCCAGAGTATCGCACCACCTGATAGAGCCTGGAAGGTCATCTCGATGGACTTCATCACGAAGCTCCCACCTTCCCAGGACCCAGCAACGATGATCGCATACGACAGCATCCTAGTAGTCACTGACCGACTCACCAAGTATGCGCTGTTCATCCCGTTCCTTGAAACATACACAGCCAAGCAAACGGCGTGGATCTTCAAGAAGGAAGTTATCAGCAACTTCGGGATACCCGAGAAACTCATCACGGACAGAGATAAGCTCTTCACCTCCCACTTCTGGAAGGACTTGATGAGCCAGATCGGCATCCAGCACAGTATGTCTACGGCCTTCCACCCGCAGACAGACGGACAAACCGAGCGTATGAACCAGAACGTGGAACAATACCTCAGGTGCTACATTAAAGAAGATCAGACCGACTGGATCGAGCACCTCCCCACGGCTCAATACGCATACAACACCTCGACAAACGAAGATCTGGGAGTTAGCCCATTCTTCGCGAACAAAGGCTTTGATCCTAAGGAACCTACCGCACTACGCGATACGATGGTTCCCGAGGCCTTCATCGAGGCCCAGAAGCTTGTACACCTTCAAAAAGAACTGAAAGACTTGGTCATTCAGCGCCAACGGAAGCACAAGCAACTCTACGACAAGAAAAGGTCGAAGGGACCGACCTATAAGGAAGGGGACAAAGTCTATTTGCTACGCAAAAACATCAAAACGAAACGACCAAACAGCAAACTAGATTTCAAGAAACTTGGACCATTCCTCATCAAGAAAGTTTTGGGACCGCTTAATTGCGAACTCTCACTACCAAAGGGAATGAAAATCCACCCAATTTTCCACACCTCTCTCCTCGAACCAGCACACGCCGATACACCGCTCCAGAAGAACGTGGAAGTCGAACCGGACCAAGAGTACGAAGTCGAGAAAATCCTAGACGACAAAGTTAGCGACGGAACCCGATGGTACCTCATCAAATGGAAAGGGTACGACGACTCGGAAAACACTTGGGAACCCCGGAAGAACCTTACAAACTGCAAGGAACTCCTCCAGGAATGGGAAGATCGACCACGAAGCTTCCAAGAGCGACCTTGGAACTGGACACGACAGAAACATCAAGGACAAATGGCGGTCAAATCCTCGACCATCCAAAAAGACAAATCAAGGATATTAGACCATGCAGACGAAGGGGGCCAAAAATGGTACCTCGTCGAAAACAACGGCTGGAAAAAGCAGGAAGAACTCGCCCGAGCACAAGTCACCCAGTACTGGACTTGGCTGGCGGACGACCTGCGACAATGGGACGAAGCGATGGGAATGCCCACCCTTCAAAACGAACCAAACAACCAGCACCCGGCGTCCGAAGTCAAGAAGATACTCGACTATCGGGATAAAGGACACACGGAATACCGCGTGGAATGGGAACCGGAAACACACCAGGAAAATAGCTGGGAACCAGAAAACAGACTCACCCTCTGTAAGGAACAACTCATCCACTTCTGGCTGAAGACAAACTGGGACCCCCCGTACCGGGCACGAGCGGATCAGGAGCTGAAGGCACTTGGGTATGAATACCCCCGGGGTCCAACGAGGGACCCAGGAAAGAAAAATCCACCACCTGGGCCCCAACGGACTGGGCGTCAAGGATCAAGGAAGATTCATCCAACAACGTTCCATCGTAAGACTCCAGCGCCAGGGAATCGTCCTCGGACAAACGATCCGACCGCTTCTCGAGGAAGCGGCGCTGCTTGCGAAGACGAGAAAGACGAGCCAAGGACTCGGAAATCCGAGACTGAGCCTCGGCGTGAGCAGACAGAAGCTCCGCCTGACGACGAGCTAGCTCCCCTTGAAGGAGGACCAACTCATCCTCTGCCTTCTCCTCGGCGGCGCGAAGCTCCGCCTGTTTAGCGAGATTTTTCTCAAGCTGAAGACCGACAAAGAGGCCGTCGCACTTGATGCCGCGACGAACACACTCCAGACAGCGAGGACGCTTCGCGGCCATACGACAAGTACGACCATGCGAAGTGCACTCGGTGCACGGCATGACGTCGTAAGGAGAAGATGACCCGTGGTCCTGAATGAAGCGAGCCGTACGATGTCGAGAACGCACTGAAGCAGAAGAAGGGGGCAGCGTTGAGGCGTCAGCCGACATGATGGGCCATGAGGAAAGAAGGAAAGGATACCCACCAGCGAAAGCGGCTGAGGACAGCGCTTAAAGGGGAAGGGGGACAATGTGACGACCCGACCAACAGGGGACGGTTGTTTGGGCAAAGAAGAGCACAAACAACTAGGCCACAGGATCAGGCCAAGGACAAGGGCGGATCAGGTGGCAGTGCCGTCACAGGTCTCTTATGTAAGCATGTGCAAGGATCACGATAAGGATAAGGCACGGAGGATACCGGTCATGCATCACCTGCATGACCGTCACGAATGCCAAGACTGATGGTCACGAACAAACCACCATGACCGTCAGACGAGCACGGCATGACCACGATGAAGGACAAAGGATATATAGATGCGGAGGATCTCCTAGATACACAGTCACTACCTTTGTACTTCAGCGATCAATCTAAGTATCAGTTTCACCCACACTTGAACTAGTCAATTGCCGAGACTGGTATCTCTTCCAAGAGACACGAACGACAACCCAGAGAGAGAACGACAGCAGAGTGTTAGTTGATCTTGCGCAGGCTTTACCTATCTGCAGAACAGCAACCCCAGCGCCCTGCCAGACGGTTGACCCCGGAGGCAGGATCGTGACAGTAGCCTCTTGGTTCAAAGCCTTCTTTGGCGGGATCTGTAGCGCATCCGTTGCTATGACTACCTCGGATGCTATGTTGGGTCTTCATATGTCTCGGTTGGTTTCCTTTAGTGTAATAGGTATCCTTTAACTAGTGATGAAGGATTAGTTACCTATATCGTTGTCGTGGTCTTCCGGCTGTTCTTGCCCTTACTGGTAGCCTCAAAAGGTGGAAATTATAAACTATAGTGCTTACCAGTCTTTTGGATCTAAGAGTCTATACGCCCCTCCGTATATAGTATATTCTTTCGTCCCAAGTATAGGAGGGCAAGTGCCCTTCAATAATAATATAACGAGTATCGAGTCCACTTATACCTAGGTAAGTACGGTCGAAAACTGTAAGGACAGTGCACCATAAGGTAAGTCAGGTAGCAGTCGGATGTCTGGTAGGGGGTCGCATTACTGCAAAACTAATTCTTAGAGGTCTAAGTTCTCCATTGCGAAGTGCACGCGTTTCGGCCACGATATGGTGTCGTGTCGATAACCCCAGTGCAGCCCCCAGTGTCCCACTGTCTGCAGCCCCGTACCTCGGTACTTGCAGCACAGTTGTGCACATTGTGCATCTCCACCTTATCGACACCAAATCGGTACCGGTGTTAAGTACTGGCCCTAGGTCTGAACAGATACTAGGCGTATTAGATTTACTACGAACTTGGGAAATAAAAGGAGGTAGTTCGCACTCTCCGTGAGCGCGTTACGGTTTTGTTAACCCCCCCTGTCTCCCCTTTTTTGACCCACCTAGGCTCGGGCCAGAGCCCGAGCCCGTAACAACCGGATCAGCCTCGTGCCGTATCGGCAGCGCATACGGGCCTTACAAAAACTCTATACGATATTAGAAAGGCTCAGCGATAAGGAGCCATCACGACGGCCCATGTAACTTTTCGTACCTAGTTATGGGAGGACAGGGACCGGAACATGCCCCGAGGCTATCCCTGTAGGAGCGGGGGCAACCTGATGCTTCCCTTAGGAGGCGCAGCGCTACGTATTGCCTTGAGTGCCACTCGAAAACGCGACTTAGGTATCTTTTCCGTCTTGGTTATAGCAGCCTCGACTAGCCCGCTGTGCCGCTGGAGCCCTATGTGACGACCCGACCAACAGGGGACGGTTGTTTGGGCAAGGAGAGCACAAACAACTAGGCCACAGGATCAGGCCAAGGACAAGGGCGGATCAGGTGGCAGTGCCGTCACAGGTCTCTTATGTAAGCATGTGCAAGGATCACGATAAGGATAAAGCACGGAGGATACCGGTCATGCATCACCTGCATGACCGTCACGAATGCCAAGACTGATGGTCACGAACAAACCACCATGACCGTCAGTCGAGCACGGCATGACCACGATGAAGGACAAAGGATATATAGATGCGGAGGATCTCCTAGATACACAGTCACTACCTTTGTACTTCAGCGATCAATCTAAGTATCAGTTTCACCCACACTTGAACTAGTCACTCAATTGCCGAGACTGGTATCTCTTCCCAGAGACACGAACGACAACCCAGAGAGAGAACGACAGCAGAGTGTTAGTTGTTATTGTACAGGCTTTACCTATCTTGCAGAACAGCAACCCCAGCGCCCTGCCAGACGGTTGACCCCGGAGGCAGGATCGTGACACCCTACTGGTCCGGCCAGCCAGTAATAGCTATAGCGTTAGAACTTTCTCCAGCGCCCCCTTAGGGGCCCGCTCATTATCCGCTATTAACCGTCCTTACTTCTCCGCGTATGAGGGGTGCTAACAAGCTTTCTAGGGTGCCCTCAGCCGCTGCGAAGTGCTTATAGTATGGCTATATGAAATATGGGCGTCTATTATAATGAGTGATCGACTACCTTGGTGTCACGATCCTGCCTCCGGGGTCAACCGTCTGGCAGGGCGCTGGGGTTGCTGTTCTGCAAGATAGGTAAAGCCTGTACAATAACAACTAACACTCTGCTGTCGTTCTCTCTCTGGGTTGTCGTTCGTGTCTCTTGGAAGAGATACCAGTCTCGGCAATTGAGTGACTAGTTCAAGTGTGGGTGAAACTGATACTTAGATTGATCGCTGAGGATGAAAGGCTAAACTAATTACTCTGGGGCATTCAGCCCCTTTATGTATTCTTTCCTCCTCATCGCTCATGTCATGTTTGTGGTGACAAACACGAACAAACACCAACAAACCGTCAGTGGATCACTGGTCCGGGTTTGTGGATCACCGTGATCCGGTTGGTGGATCACTGTGATCCTGGTGTGAGGCTCACTGGCTCACCTAGTGAGCCGGTGATCCTTCCTATCGATAACCTTGCTGACATAAGGAGATTTCTTACGTAACCTGGGGTGTGCCCGTCCCGCGTGCATGACCTGCCCTTGTCCTTGGCCCGATCCTGCGACCTGTTGGTCGGGTCGTCACAGCTTACTTCTTAAACGATAAGAGTAATTTATAAGGAACTACTCTAGACTTTACAGTAGGGTTCGGGTTCAGCGTCCACATTTTAGCGTTCACATTTTAGCGTTCAGCACCTTTTGTAGAAGAAGTCGTGGTGGGGTTTGTGGACAGTGTGTAACCAGTGCCTTGAAGTACCGCTGCCACCGCGCGCTTCACAGTAGCCGCTTTGGTCCCTCGCCCCACCTAAGCATTTCTCCCTGCGATGCCGCGTTCCTCGCTCGTCGCCCTCTACATAGCATCAACACTTTAGGCGAAGATGAGCCAGACACAAGCAAATGGGCTGCTATGCGTCGTTCCTACATAAACAGCCCAGTCACATTCCAAATGAACCGATCACGTCACCCAGCCAGCATGGGTACTCGGTATCCAGATGTGAAATTCGATCCGAGCGCCATCGCTGGTCCGGAGGGTTCCAGTAATTCCATTGCAAATACGGCATCTAGCAACATAGCGGACATTCCGACTTCCTTCATCAGCTCTACAGCGGCGATGTCTAACCTCGTCGACATACTGTCTCAACTCGAAACCGACTTGCCATCCATATACGTTGACCTTGAAGGAATAAAGCTGTCCCGTGAGGGGTCGATTTCCATTTTGACCCTCATGCTTCACCCGTCTGCGACTCAGAAACACGTCTACCTCATCGACGTCCATACTCTAGGCGGACTTGCCTTCAATACTTCAGGAAAGAACGGCGTGACTATGAAGGACATCCTCGAGGAGCCAACCATCCCCAAAGTCTTCTTCGACGTCCGTAACGACTCTGACGCGTTGTACGCTCACTTCAACATTGCTCTCCAGGGAGTTGAGGATGTGCAACTGATGGAGAATGCTTCGCGACGAAGCGGGGCATCCAAGAGATTTCTCAACGGCCTTGTCAAATGCGTTAAGTATGATGCAGCCATCGGTTATCGACTCTTCCGGAGCTGGAACCAGGCAAAGTTCGATGGAGAGCTCCTATTTGATCCAAAATGGGCGGGAGGCTCGTATCAAGTTTTCAATTTACGCCCGCTGCCAACCAAGATTACAGCCTATTGTATCGGAGACGTGCAATACCTGCCGCATTTGAGGGATGTTTACTGGGGCAAACTTACGGCCCCGTGGAAGGTGAAGGTGGGAGAAGAAACGAAGAACCGTGTGCTACAATCTCAGTTGCCTGGTTATCAGCCTTGCGGTAGTGACAGAGCGCTTGGCCCATGGCAGGATAACGAGACTATCATTGGGAGCCTTTGGAACCAGCACGACAGCTTAGAGGATCCTTGGGATGACTGGCAGGCTGAGAACGACGATGACTGGTTTGATACTCGTGATGATAATGATTACGAGGATTGGACGAGAGTGCCATGGCAGGGTCCTCCCTCTTAGCTTGTCTAGGGACGTAAGGGAGATGGACTGAATTGGTCAAACTCGATAACGGGGTAAATAGCGCCAGATGAACGTTGTCTGCCCACGCTTCTATAGCCTAGAGAGAATTTAGTGATGGTTCTCTGAAGTGGATACATTATGAGGAACTCTTACACACGTCACAGAATCCTTGCTCGTTTATAAATTGAACCACTGTCGGCGACTCATGGCATTCGAGACAAGAATCTGGATTATTAAGTTATATGGATCGGTGCAGGAAGGGTTCGGGACTCACGTTGGTCACAGTAATCTTTATATCCAGACATGGTCTGGCAGTGAGCTTTTGGCATGTTTTTTGATTGCTTGTGACGTTATTCAACCAAAGGCCAACTTTGTCCCCATGACTGCAATCATCTCCCGGATCCGCCATAATGGCCGGCCGAGTGTCAAGTGAGCGGATGTATGACAAACGTTGTTACTTCTAGCAGACGTGATCATGAAGTGCGCGTGGTGCGGGGGCGCCGAACGCGGACTTTCCAGTAGGAGCGGACTCCACGTGATGTTACCCTTAGCCTAAAGAGCCTAATATTTTGTTGCTCCGACATCGCCGCGCAAATTGTGCAGGCATGAAATTTGTTGCCTCAGCTCGCTTAGGTACGTACTGAGGTTGCACCCCCGTGCGACTTATTCTAGTTTTCCAGAACCGCTTCTCGAACGTTTGTCCAAAGGGCCCACGTGCTTCCATCCGAGATCTTGACGATTGCCACGCCATCGCAAACGGCCAGTCTCCGAAGTTGCCCTTGACACTAGTTGACTGTCGGTACAGTACTTGTCGCGGGGCCAAAACCGGCTGCTGTTAAGCCAATGATGATATCGGTACTTTTGTGCGATGATTACACACTGTCTAAAGCCCCGCTGTGAACTATTCTCCAAAAGAATTCGTGCCAAAATGCGGACACTGAACCTGAACTCTACTGTACCAATTGTCTTTCGAATCACGATCGCGAACCCTTGCCAACCATGCACGCCCGGCGGGGCCCGAGCGCCCTTGAATCAGGCCCTGATTTAGCGCAAGGCGCCAGTCGCGGGAGGCTTCCCTGGACCATAGGCTCTGTTGGAGGAACACTTCACATAACCTCTTCACATGCCTGGCGTCTTCCTTCCGGTTCCCGAGCCCGACGTCGCTCTGCCCCAGTTTGCATCGAGTCCCGATAGCGACACCTTGGCCACCCCGAAGAGGTACGGCCTGGTCTGCCTTCTTAGAGACTCTGCCTCCATGAAGCCGTCCACATCCGCCTCGACCGCTCCAACCCTCCATTCCGCCTGCTGCTGCCCACCTTCTGCCTTGCTTGCTTCTTTGACCGGCCTGCTTGCCTGGCCCCGTCTGCCCCCATCGTCCGTCCGTGACCTCTTCGTCATTGGTTGTCCGACGAGCCTGGTGCTGACCCCAGGGGAGATACCGACGATGTTGACGGTAAAATAACGACACGACATGCCAGTCGCTGACTTCCGTCCGGGGGGGTTCCCTAGTTAAACTTCGTTGGCCCAATTTACCGCCCGTCCGCACCACCGGCACTGCACTCGACGGCAATTTAAGGCCACAGACTGCCCAGCAGTCAATCGCCCCGCCCACATCAAATTGCCCTCAAGGGCAATTCCCATCGTCACCCCATTCCACCGCCTTCAAGGCCAAGGTAGCGTCGAGGCCCTATAGGGACTTCCCTCCGGGCGTAATAAATCCATGCCATGCCTTCAAGGCCGCATTGTGCTGGGACAGGGGGCTCGCGACAATACCGGGGCAGACGACAATTGTAATATGAGAGTAAGGGGGCGAGCCGGGATGACCTATAAAACATGGAGTGCTTACGTTCGGCTGTACGTGGCATGGAGTCAAGCTTTACGGTGCATGAAGTCTGGCTTATTGTACTATCGGATCTGGTGTAGAATAGGATATCCCACGTATGACGGGTGTTGACTTCGTACATGCCTGAAACAGTTGTCCTCCCTCGTGAACACCCTGACGACCTCCCTGGGTGGCTGGATTGAGCGACTGCATCCAGGAACTGGGCAGAGCCACCCTCGGCGGGGCTGGTGCTGGTGGGACTCGTGGCGGCGTTGTGCCCGTGTGTCTTTGAAGGTGAGATGGCAGAACTAACAGGAGAAGCGCCGAGGCGCGGCAGCCAGGGGTTGCTGGGCGGAGACCTCTCGGTGCTGGTCTCCCCCGTCTCCATGCTGTGGTGCTGGTTCAAAGGAGTGTTGGGGTAGCAAGTCACCAGGACTTGCCGGTATCGCGATCTCTTCTGCTTCCTCGTGCTGGCCGGCAGATGCGGCGCCCACATCCTCGACGGGAATGACGTTCCAATCATACTCTGGTTCAGGGCCATTACCCCCGGCTACGAGCCAAGCTGGCGAGACCGACGGAAGTTGTTGTTTGTGTTGATTACTTTGCCGGGTGCCCTCTTGACTCGGACTAGAGATGCACGGGCTCTACCAAGACTGGAGGCTGTGACGCGGCCTGCCGGGTAGTGGCCAGGAGTCGAGGCGCGAGGAGAGACCAACGAGTGCGGCGACGGTGCAAGGAAGGGATCAAAGAGTGACTGCGGCGAACCTCCTGGGTTGACCGTGAGGGAGAAGAAGCAGCAGAGGGACGAGGGGAAGAATCTCGGTCTAAGTAGACAAATCCACCCCGCCAGTCGAGGAAGAGGGGGGTGGCGATGGGTTCATAGTGGTCACTAGGCCTCAAACAGTTGCGGCGGGGCGGTCCAACCAGGAGCTGGCTGTTCTGCATGTCTCACGACGGTCACCCCCGTGTGCCGATAAGATGGTGCAAGTCGGATGGCCGACTTGGAGGTTCTTGATGTCGATAAATAGACCATGAAGGGCTCGCAAGATGTCAGGAAAAGCCATGCAACCCATTTTTCTCTCCTCCCATCACTTATCATGGCTCTCCTCTGCTGCAACGGGCTCAGCGCCTACCGTCCTCTCCGGACTGACCACGAGTCCAAGTTCGACATGTTCAAGGCCTGGGCGGCCTACCCCCGTGAGACGAGCCCTGGGGATGATGTCCAGCTTGACCCAAGCAGCTTCATCATCCAGCTCGTCCGCCAAGTCAACTTCGGGTCTGTCGAAGCCAAGCGTTACTTTGTCCCTGACGGGGACGGAGGCTTCGTCGAGGTGCGGGAGCAGGACATCATCAACGCCAACTTCCGCAAGGTCAACTCGTACGTATTTCAATCTGAGCATAAGACAGGCTTTCTGACTGTGCCAGTTACAAAAACTTCAAGTGCGCCGCGCACAACAAGTTCTACGAGTTCAATCTGTATCAGAGGGACCCTGTGAACATGCATCACTAGCGCGCGGACGTGGCGCGTCCAGCCAGCGAGATCGACCTCTGACAGGCCGTCAAGGCGAAGGGGATTCTTTCATTCTACGCCTGTATGGGTTGGACACGATTTCACGGGCCGCGTTTGCGGGCGATAAGTCGTCACGTGGTCTGAGCGGATTACGACGTAATTGCGGGCGCCACCGATAAGCCAGCTAGCTGGTGGTTCAAACTTTATACACGAGTTCAGCTCCTTCCGGATATTACAGTAGTCTAAAACTTCCTCCCGGGCGGCTGCTTCGGCGCACTCAGGAAAAAATATTGAAATATGCTACACGCGTGATCGACTTTCTTCATCTGATCGAAGGAGACCAATCGTCAAGAAGTATGGAGCAACGCTAGGGAATGGCGCTTATCGGTGGCGCCCGCAATTACGTCGTAATCCGCGCAGACCACGTGACGACTTATCGCCCGCAAAACGCGGCCCGTGAAATCGTGTGCCCCTGATAAGTTCTGCTTATCGATAAGATGGCTAGACTCACCGTCTCGAGGAATGCTGAGTCAGACGGCGTGTGTCGCAGTCAAAGTCGAAAACGCCCGAGGCATTTCTCTCCATCCCCATCTTTCCAAACCTATTGGGTGATAACTTATGATTAATTTGTTCCCCGCAATGCTATCGACCCGTGGTTTTGTGGCCTGTCTGCAGACCGCGGTCACATGGACGATGCATGTCTACAACGCTCAGCCTCGCCACCCCGCACGATGCGACTTGACACTCTGAACAGATCTCGCAGCCCGGGTATCAGTCGAGATGGCGGAGGCACTTGACGTCGCTTCCGGCGTTATTGCGGTCGTCGATATGTCGGCCAAAGCGCTCGGCCTATGTTCTCAATACGCCGGAGCTGTCAAGAACGCGAAAGCAGACATCGAACTGCTCGGCAAAGAAGTTGCGGATTTCCTGGCCACGATACAGAACCTCCAAGAGCTCCTCAATGGGCCTCGTGGGAAGGCGCTCGAATCGTCGCAGGACGTGTGCAGCGCGATCAGTGATGCAGTCTCGACACTCGCAGCCCTAGCTCAAATGCTTGTGCCTGCGACGAGTCGCAAAGTGATGAGCCGCGTTGGGGTGCGGTCGCTGACATGGCCGTTCAAGTGGAAAGACGTGGAAAAAATAATCCAGCAGCTAGCGCGCTGCCGTGACACCATCTCGCTGGCGCTGAGCGTTGATCAGATGTGAGTCTTCCCGGCCCTTGGTGATGGCTAGGCTAACATGTCGTCCATCCAGGGCCTTGATCCAGAACGTCGACCACAAGCTCGTCATCGACAGGCTCCGTATCGCGGAAGGAGCGTCATTTGACTCGCACGCCGAAGCGAACAATCCGACATGCCTACCAAACACCCGCGTCGAGCTGCTCGAAGACGTGTCCCGGTGGATCGCGGATCCCAACTCCAAGACAATATTCTGGCTCAACGGCATGGCGGGGACGGGAAAGTCGACGATCGCACGCACCGTGGCTCGTACAAGGTCCGACCATGGCGACCTTGGTGGCAGCTTCTTCTTCAAGAGAGGCGAGGCGGATCGGGGCAATCTCGCCAAGTTTATACCTACGCTCGCGCGTCAGCTGGCCTCGAGGATGCCCGGCATCGCACCTGATATCAAGAACGCAATCGACGCAGATCCAGGTATCTGTGGGAAGACGGTCAGGGAGCAGTTTGAGAAGCTCATCCAGGAGCCCCTATCGAAAGCAATTGAGGCGATAAAAGTTCCATCCTGGATTGTCATGGTGATCGACGCGTTGGACGAGTGCGAGCGGGACGAGGATATTCGACTGTTGATTCGCATTCTCTCACGCACACCTGCGTTGCGGTTTCGTTTGCGAGTATTCTTAACAAGCAGACCAGAACTTCCGATCCGACTGGAATTCAGCCAAGTCAGAGACACCTACCAGGATGTAATCCTCCACGAAATCCCCTCGAAAATCGTCGCAAAGGATATCCAGACGTATCTGGCGGAGGAGTTCAACCAAATGCGAGAGGACTTCAACGCTGCTGCGAGAGAGGATCGGAAGCTGCCGCCCGATTGGCCAGGCCATGAGTCTGTGGCAGAGCTCACGAAGATGGCTGTGCCTCTATTCATTTTTGCTGCTACCCTGTGTCGTTTCATCGGCGAGCGCAGATGTGGCAGCCCCCCGATGCAGTTACGCAAGGTCCTGGACCACGGCAAATCGAGTAGTGGCTCTCAATTTGATCTGACCTATGGGCCTATCTTGAGATCACAGCTGGATGGCCAACTCTCGGAGGATGACAGGGCACAGATCATCCAGGACTTCCGACTTGTGATTGGCACGATCATCACGCTTGCGGATCCGCTTTCCGCGAGCTGCCTCTCACGACTGCTTGACACCCGTCCCGACGTTGTCGATACCAGATTGGATATGCTCCATTCAGTCCTGAGTGTTCAGTCGGACGATTCGCCGGTGCGGCTGCTTCACCTGTCGTTCCGAGACTACCTCGTGGAACCAGACCAGGAGGCGACGAACGCGTTCTGGGTGAATGAGAGGTCAGCGCACCAGACTCTAGCCCAGAACTGCCTTCGCGTGATGGCCGCTCGTCTCCGAGAGAACATATGTGGCATGTCGTACCCGGGAATGCGCCGATCCGCAGTCGACTCGCAGCGTATTGCTGAAGTCCTGCCGCGGGAGGTGCAATATGCGTGCCGGTTCTGGGCGCACCATTGGACGGCGAGCAGCTGTGGAGAGAACGACGGAATGGCGGTGTATGGTTTCTTCAAGGAGCATCTGCTGCACTGGGTGGAAGCCATGAGCCTGCTGGGGCGTGCGCGGGAAGTCATTGGCATGTTGCGGCAGACGGCATGGTGGATTGGCGTAAGTTCACCTCAAAGACGCCCGTTGAAGGTGCTAATATGAGTGCTGTAGGAGAGGGATTACCAGCCGCTGTCGACCTTCCTGGCGGATGCGGTCCGATTCGTGAAGGCGAGCTTCGCGGCAATCGACGAGACTCCGCTGCAGCTTTACTCTTCTGCACTGGCGTTTGCTCCAAGCGAGAGTATTGTTCGGTCGACATTGGAGAAATGTGTCCCCGGCTGGCTGTCCGTCAGGCCACAAGTGGATGGGAACTGGGATGCGTGTCTCACAGTGCTGGAGGGCCATGACGACTGGGTCAGGTCGGTGGTGTTCTCTCATGACTCGAAGATGGTGGCATCGGCCTCTGACGACGAGACGGTGCGGATTTGGGACACCGAGTCTGGAGAGTGCATGTACGTGCTGGAGGGCCACAGCATTATGTCAGGTCGGTGATGTTCTCTCACGACTCGAAGACGGTGGCATCGGCCTCTGGCGACAAGACGGTGCGGATCTGGGACGCTGAGTCTGGAGAGTGCATGTGCGTGCTGAAGGGCCACAGCGATGTGGTCAACTCAGTGGTGTTCTCGCACAACTCGAAGGTAGCGGCATCGGCCTCTGACGATAAGACGGTGCGGATCTGGGACACCGAGTCTGGAAATTACGTGCAGGTGATTCAGATGGGGTCTTTTCCTTCTGTCCTTGGCTTCACAGCCAACGATGGTAGCATCATTACGAACACTGGCGTCATAGCCATCACTCGTAAGTCTTGCACGGACGCCATCACGCCATCATCTTCGGCAGCCTCACGACTAGGCCTGCGAGACTTCTCCTGGGTCATTGTGGGAGACGAGGATTGGCTTTGGCTTCCTGCAGAGTGCCGTGGGGGGGAATCGGCAGTCACGGGAACAGCAGTTGTGATAGGCTGCCAATCAGGCAGGATGGTGATTCTGCGTATCTCTGTGGCTGGGAGTCTGGAGTAGATGAATGGAGAATCTCGATGTTCTGCTGGTAATGTAAGGCTGGGCCCGATCGGGCCTCGGCTGTGCACTCGGCCGAGTGTTGCTCAGCCAACTATCACGGTCACCGCGAAGACCGCAGGGAGGTCCAAGCTGGAAGACTCCTTTTCTGCAGGCTGGAATTCTTCCACCCCATTTTGTTCTCTTCTTCTTTCCTCAGGATTAGTGTAACGTTAGGTGGATTTTGGGGTGGTCCGAATTGGGGGGGGAGGGTCCGAATGGGGGGGGAGGGTCCGAATGGGGGGGTTGGTCCGGATGTGGGTGAGGGACGTTATCACTCAGTGTCTCAGGCATCGCTGCACGGAAATGCACCCCTCACGCCACAAGGCGCAGTCTTCACAATCCACAGAACATGAATAGCGGTGGGATGTATCATAATACCGCAGTAAAATGGAAGAGCATCCTTCGAATCCGATGGATCAAGATCCTCGGCTATTCAAACCATAAATAGAGATGGCCAGGGTGCCTTTTCTTCACAAATCAGGTCCACAAGCAAGGCCCGTGGTATTCTGGGGCTGTGGAACGAGCCTAACCACCTGCCTATTTCCGCCCGGCGACTGTCCCGTTAAGGGGAGTCATGTCGCCCAGCTTCGCCTCACGCCCATGTGATAGTCCTCCGAACAGATGATAAATGCTGCGCGGCAAGCAATGTACCTCATAGAATATCCTACATTGCGATTGTGGTTCGATGCAGCTAATACTACGCCGGACCGATGATGCTCAGCATATTCAGGGTGTAGGATCAAGACACGTCAGGAGTCTTCCTCAACTGTAATTAGAGACGAGTTCGAGCACAACAATGGCTAGATTTATTCACGATAGCTCACTTGTTAAGTTGGAGCACTTATGCGGTCACCGTCAAATGTGCAAAGAGATCTCCAATGGGCTGAGGATTCCAGAGCGAATAGCGTAGTTCGGCAAAACGACATGCACGGAACTTCAATAAATGCGCGGCTAAACTTGGTACGCTCTCAACGATCCTCGGGGCACTTTCTTCTTCCAGCAAGCGATGTCTCTCCCCGCAGGTTCAGTTGCAACAGCGATTGTAAGCTCCGGCGTGACTGTAAGTTCCGGGTCGATTGGTGCCCCGCAGCAACCGTAAGCCTCGGATTGAACTGCTGTGAGCCCCGGACGGATCGGAAGCCCGGCACAGTTGCTAGGCCCGGCGCGAGCGTAAGCCCCGGAGCAATCTGCTGTAAACCTTGGAGCGGCAGGACGCCTCAATGTAACGGTAAGCCCCCAAACGGCTTCACCCGTCAAGACAACAAGGCATAGTCGTGGCGCAGAACGCTCAGATTGAGCCTAACACCGCTTCGAGAGATGCCGTCGCACCGAGTGTAGGATCAAGTTCTGACAAATGAGCATTGTACCTGCCAGGCTCAAGGAAGCACCTTTGCCTAGTTGTTCCGGCGAATGCAAATAAGCTTTTTTTACATAACACCATAGCCTCAAGCATCTCTATATAAGACGCCAAGCTTCCCCCCTTCAAAACGTTAAACACCAGGGCATCAACATCATCGAGCACTCCAACTCCCTTACAAGAGCATCCCGCATCCAAATTCAGTTCCATCAGTCCTTGAATTTCAAGTTCCTTGCACCATTTCTCAAAATGAAGCCCTCCACACTCCTCTTCGTTGCTATTAACTACCTCGGCTTAGCCTCCGCAGCAGCCATCACCCCCGACGATACTTTGCCCGCCATAGAGAAGCGAGCATGCTTCGACAGCGGAGCTAGCTGGGGAAGCCAGAGAGGCACTGCCTTGACCCGCGCCCAGACGGCTTGCAACGGCCCCCTCAAGGGCACATACCAGAAGCGCGAAACCCGCCCTGAATGCTACAGCATCGGCGGCGGTAAGATCGTCAGGTTCACTGTCGGTCTCACTGGCCCCAATGCTCCTGAGGAGCGCAACCTCGGCTACGCCGAGTGCCTCGACGGCCTTACGAGTGAGATCATCAGCTGCGGAAAGGGAGGTGACACCACCTACGGGAGATGGCGCTACAGGTACGCGCTTTTGCATTATTCATGTGTGCGCAACTCTTTTTCAACGTAACTGACAGTTTCAGGGCCGATCCCAACGTGGGAACCTGCTAATGTCATCAAGTGCTATTGGCCCCGTAGTGCCTGGGAGGTGGAGGGGTCCAAGGGAGCAAGACCGGGTGCAGGGTCTTACTGGACAATTTTCTCTCCCCTGGATTGGATGTGAGACCCCTGGGAAGACAGATCCTGACTGAGAAATTAGCCAGCTCCGGGTAGTAACTAGGGTATCCCAACCTTCCTATCCCAATTAGGCTTAACCCTTCCGATTGTCTCCAGCCCTAATGCTTCTAAAAAGCTGTTGTTGATGTCTCCTTTGTGGTTGCTTACTTATTGGTGAGCCGAAGGTTTACCACGCCTGCCACCGCGGTGAAGTGGATCTTCACAGTGGTGACTTTTGTTATCATAAGAAGTAGTGAATGTAGCTCAGCGCGGATGTTTTGTGCTCAAGGTCCGTGGTGTAAGGTCCTTCAAATCCCAGATGTGGCTGGAGTTTGATGGTGTATTCAAAGCTTACTTGAAATTAAAAGCTGTGTTTGCGTTCTCAGTGTGTTCCAATACATTTCTAATGGTCTCTGTTTGAGCGAAAGTATGGTTTTATTCGTTCACTGATCCATGTCCTAGCTGGAACCACAAAATCATGTCATACTAGGATGAAGAGGTGATGTCTGCTGGCACAGAGAGTGTCAAGGACGAGAAACTCAGCCGCTTCCTTTGAAACTCCCAGCGATCACAGCGCCTCTATCCCTACCGAATATATTAGCATTCATGCTGTTCCATTCGTCCGACAGGGACTGTCGGATTTTGCTGTAACAGAACTCGCGGACGCGGAAGGCAGAGACGCTGTCTACACACAAACTCATCTTTGGTCTCAGCAATAGCTTTACATTATTCGCAGTTTTGGCCAACCGTGCCCTCCATCATCCCGGTGATCCCACCTTGACCGGCGAAGTTGGTAACAGTCTCCCCGCCCCATATGCTGCATCACAGTCAGACGTCTTCCCGTCGCAACACCAACAACGACAACCAAGGGGTTCGCAAACAACTCCTTCCTCGCTTACTCGAGGACAGTTTAGTCTAGAAGCCCCAATTCCATCCATGTATTCCTTATTCAAAATAAACACGGTTGCGTGAACCGGATTTCGCTTCACTGCCGGCATTGGTGTCTGAGGCTACCCTCGTCGACGGATACGGACGCCAGGCCCGCAAGAAAGGGAAGACGTATCTAATCTCCAAGGCCTGCTTCCGTTATTTTGAAAAATTACGTATTAACGTCTTGCCGCGTCGCCTTCCCTATTACGGTTCTCGCTGGATTGGACCGCTCCTTAGGCGGATACTGTTGTTCGAAGAATTCCCGAACACTGTTCTTAGCGTCCCGTAGCCACACTAGTTGCTCATGGCTAGTCCAGTTCGCCTCAAGCCAGCAGACGTTCCAGCGCGGGTGAAGAATGACGGCAGCCGGGTAAAGTGGAGATTGGCCAAGTAGACTGTAATACTCGTCAAGCTTTGACCAACAGTTATTGATAGAGATTTGTATGCATCGTCGGTGGTCATCATCAATATTCTCAGTTTGCAAGAATGCACGAGCATATTCGTCTCGAGTATGCTGTGGCAAGTGCTTCTCGCGTCCGCAACCCTGGTCAACTCGCAGAGTGCTACATCCCGAGAAACTATTAGCAAAATAGGCAGAAGACGACCGAACATGAACAAGAAAGCCGTACTCGTGGTTGCCGAGGCTCTGGCATTCCGTAGCTCATCGGCAGTACCATCAGGTGGCGAGAATATCAGCTTTTGCTCCTCGAAGAAGTTGAGCAAATATTCCATTCCGATCATCACTTCCCACAAGGCGCCGTAACGGCCTTCTTTGGCCCAACCCTGGCACCTCATGGTGATCTCGTAGAGTGGTTTTAGTAGACTCTGTATCTCCGCCAAGAGAAGCCAGTCCTGCGGTGAAAGATGATCTTGGACAGGAACACGTTGTCGGGGCTCTGCTGCCTTCGTATCGAGATATGTGATGAAATGGTCAATCTGCTCTCGTTTGCGAATGGCACGCTGGATCATCAGAAAAGTCGAATTCCATCTGGTTTCATTGTTCTGCATCAGCTCGAGATCGATGGCAGCTCGGTCCTCCTCAAAGAGTTGATAATCGTCTTCGTTGCGCTGGCTGCATGCCAGAGATTTCATCAACTCTCTCCGTTGCGGAGAGGCCCTGAGTCGTCGGCGCCCAGCCGTCAATTGCTTCGATCTTCAAGCTCGATCCGCAGCAGCCACAGCAACAGCAATTTGCGAATAACCTCATCCGCTCCTTCGACCGCCGCCGGCTGCGCCGTCTCATATTGAAATACCTCATCAATACAAACTCTTCTTTCCGCGCCGTCGATCATCCTAGTTTCCGCGAGCTTCTCGAATATCTGAATCCATCCGTGGCGGTGCAGCAAGCGATTCCATCAAGCAAGTCAGTCCGGCGCTTGATCCTGCAGCAATACAAAGTCCATCGTGAGAAGGTAATTCAGGTGCTTCGAGACTGCCCTGGCAAGATACATATATCGTTCGATGGATGGACTTCACCAAATCAACTTGCCTTATATGGTATTATGTGCTTTTATCGTAACCATGCCGGCTTGCCCTGCAAGCTGCTACTTGGCTTGCCTGAAGCACATCGTCACTTCGGCGCCGATATCGCCAGCCAAGTCCTCGAAGTCCTCTATGGCTTTGGGATTGGCAAGGATAAGATCGGATATTTTACTCTTGACAACGCCGAGAATAATAGCACTGCTATGGAGGTTATCGGCGGCGAATTGGGCTTCGATGGGCGTCTCCGCCGTGGCCGTTGTATCGGCCACACTATCAACTTGGCGGCAAAAGCCCTATTATTTGGCAAGCATCCAGACGCCTTTGAGACCCAGCTCGATGGGGCCACGGCCTTGACCGACGCAGAATATCAACAATGGCGACGGCAAGGTCCAGTTGGGAAGCTTCACAACCTAGTTACTGATATCCGGAACGTCCACGCGTTGTCTCGTGGCTTCTTGAAGCTTCAGCAAGATGAAATCGATCTTGCAAAGCCAACAACTGGTCGAAGGCGACGGCCACTCCGTCCTGTTAAAGACAACGATACCCGATGGCTTTCACAGTTATATATGATCCGGCGTGCCTTGCTATTGAAGTCGTCCATCAAGATGCTTCTCGTCACTGCGCGGAACAACTGGGATGACGAGAATCGCTCGAAACGGACTAATGTGGTCTCTGCCGCAAAGCTTCAGAGCCTCCCACGATATCTTCAGCCAGAGAATCAGCTCTCCGATATCGATTGGGAAGCTCTCGAGCACCTCCAGAGTATCTTGACGGAGTTCGAGACGGTTGTGAAGACCTTGGAAGGCGACGGCAAGGTCCGGATCCGACGACGATGGACAGGATCTTATGGCAACGTGTGGGGCGTCATCCTCGGCTTTGAGCTTTTATTATCGAGGCTCGAGGAATATAAGCAGCTTGCTGAGGGCTTCCCTGGCCCTGAACAATTCAGAATCGGTATCAACCTTGCTTGGCAGAAGCTTGACGAATATTATCAACGGCTTGACGAGACTCCGATCTATTATACAGCTTTGGCACTCCATCCTGCGTATCGATGGGACTGGTTTATGGACACTTGGCACGAGAAGCCAGCTTGGATTCAGAAGGCAAAGGAGCTCGTCCACGATGTATGGGTCTCTGACTATGCCCATCTCGATCTCAGGGCCTCTAGCCGTGGGAGTGGGACTGGGAATAGCGACGGCGAGCCGCCTGCCAAAAGGCCACGATATCCCAATCTATTTTATAACAAGTTCAGCGCCAATAAGCAAGCTGCCGAGCCGTCTCGCAGACGAGCCGTTGAGGGCGACGAGTATGAGACTTGGCAGCTTGACCGAGATAAAAGCAACTTCGAGGTTCAAGATCCTTTGGGTTATTGGATTCAACGCCAAGAGCGTTACCCTCGATTATCACAAATGGCCCTCGACTTCCTGACGATCCAGTCTATGTCAGCTGAGTGCGAGAGGGCATTCTCAACGGCTGGCAACATGGTGGGACCGTTGCGGCACCAGCTTGAAGCCGAGACCATTGATATTTGCCAGGTCCTGCAGTCTTGGTATCGAGCTGGCATCTTGGATGGCCAGGAAGGCGACGGCGAGGTGTGGCCCCAAGGTGGCAACGGTGAGGGCGACGTCGAGGGCGACTTGCTGACGGATGAGAGCGACGGCGAGGTCGATTCTGAAGCTTCCGAGATGGCGGAGATAGACGATATAGCTGCTATATTAGACTCAGACTGACCGGCGCCGGCGAGGGTCTGCCCAGCTTTGTAATACACCCATATATGTGTACACCCACTGAGGAGGGTCACGATGTGTACGTACACGCACTGCGAATAGCTTCAAATGGACGTACACGCACTCAGGTTGTGGCAAATGTGTATTTGTGGGTGTACGAGGCACCTTGGATTGCTCTATCTAGCTCCGACGACTTGAAACTAAAGATTAGCGTAGTCCACGTTACTTCATCGCAATCGTCTTGGCGCGATTTCTCTAAACTCGCGGACCATCAATCCATTCTAAGTTTGGCGTCACTTTGCGGCGCGAAATGCACCCGATATCACATGCTCCAGTCCGGTGTAGTGCATTCGCTCTTGTCCCGTGGCGTCCTGTTCTGGCCCATTCACGTCGACCATGGCCTAGGAATGCTTACGGAGGAATTGCACCGAAAGCCGGCGGGTAAACTGCTGAGGCAAACTAGCGGTGAGGGACCGCACTAGCTCAACCCCTAGTTGCTCGGAACGGCCGTGGCTTAAACTGGTGGCCGATTCCTTCCTGGCATGCTCCCTTCACTTCTCCGTCATTTGATTGATAGCAGCCTCCCTGGAACGGATATACTCGACAAGTAGATTCCACCGCTTTAGTCCTAACACCTGATTCCGCTGACTTTCGGGAAGGAGCATCGAGTAATCCCAGAATCACCACCGGTTACCCAGTCAAGCATGCTGGGCCACGTTTCCATTCGTGCCTCGAACCTTGAAGCGTCGGTCAAATTCTACCTGGCCGCATTGGCCCCGCTTTCCTATCAAGAAATGCGATTCCCGACCGTGGTTGGACTCGGCTCGTCAAGCTCTAGAGCTCCCATCCCGGATTTTTGGCTTCGACAATACACTCCAGGCCCGGAGAATAATCATACAGAGAAGCCGACACCAGTGCACATCTCATTCTACGTGAATGAGCAAAGGCTCGTAGACGAGTTTCATAAAGCCGGGATTGAAGCTGGAGGGAAGGATAATGGAAAGCCGAGAGAACGGCCATGGATGAAAGGATATTACGGTAAGTGATGTTACTAGTTCTAATTGCATCTAAATATGGCTGCTGACGCAGCTGGCACAGCGGCATATGTTCTCGATTTGGATGGGAACAATATTGAAGTTGTGTGTATCTCGACGGAGGCAGAGTGATTTAGCCGCGGAGAGTCTGTAAGATCTTTTGTGCGAAGGAGGCCGTGATTGTCTCGATTTGGCTCTCTAGCGGAGTTGCATCTTTTTCCGGCGGAATTGCTGCTACCCCGACAAGGCCTGTGGTACCTCTGGAGTGCTGCTCCATGCCGGAAGTACACCGTTAAAGGTTGCTGGCTTCCGGATATTGCCCGCCGTCCAGTGTTGCGAATAATATGGCAATTAAAGTAGGATATTGCAATACATACCATGAGTGGGCAGTAGGTGGCAGTGCGGTCAGCACGCGACTGACCCCGCAGTCAGCCGGGCGCCCGATACCAACAGATGTCGGCTCTCCACAGATTCGCATTGCAGCTCTGATAAGCCGCAATGTGGACCACTGCCCAGGAGCATCTCTACTAATTTCGAAGAGCCTCTTCGCATTACGACAACTACAAATACTTCATCAGGTCATGATAAACCTATTCAATTCAGAGAGCAGCACTCGCCCACAACGGCAACAAATGTAACAATTCCCTCTAATCAAACAAGGTCTCCAAGTAAGAGTCTATTTTCCCAAGGCCGAGATAGTAGTAGGTCTTCATCGGGAGTACCTAAAGCCTCAAACGAGCTCGAAGCTCAGATAGAGACCGACGATGATGACTGTGTTAACCAGTTCTTCCCTTCCTAATGATCACAGTATCAAGAAGTCACCGTCCTTCCCCTGCGCCGCCACCTTTCCCATGGCCTTATCAACGATGTACACCTGATCTTCGACCCAGCGACGCCTGCACGTGCTCCAGCCGCTCGCGGTTCTCGCGCAAATAGGCCAGTGTTGCCACGGCAGTTGCCTCGTTCTCCTGGGCGAGCTCGATCGCTTTCCGAATAGTCTCCTTCTCCCGAGCCTCAGGCGTATTTGCCTCCATCTCGGCGAGCTGTGCCTTCAGCTCCTCTAGGCTAGGCATATTTTTGTCGAGCTCGTCCAACTCCTCCTGCGCAGGTAGTTCTCGTGTTTCAGTATCCCGAATCCTCCAGGCGCGTCGCGCAGTTGCGGCCGAATCTTGTGTGTTGGCCTGGACGGCCTTCCAGGATAGGACGGCGATAGCTATGGTGAAAATGGTAACTCCAACCGCGAGGGCTGAACTCTCGTCAAGAAGAGGGCTAGACATGGCGTCTTTTAGAGGAAATTAATGATACGTGTGAGGTGCGGGTTACGGTGTGGTTTGAAGGCTGACCTGCGTGTCTAATGAGCTGTACGCGTGTTAGGTAGGCGGTGACGAGTTTTGAACTTTTCTGGTAGTTCGGCGGCTTTTGCACACGGAATCACATATCGTCAGCACAATACACCAGCTTACATTGAATTATTGATACTAAACGTGCATTTGAAAGTCGGGGTTGCTTGACAGTACTACTGTAGTATCAAATTATCTGTAATAGGTCTGTTACAGTAGCAACCCAAAACGACTAAACAAAATTTGTTGTCTTGTCAGATTGCACTGTTTGGCGACCTCCCAAGCCTCGTCGCAATACGCAAGGCTAAAATTTAGCCGCCTGATGACCAAACTCGCATATTGCATTGCAGCTTGACACAATTGGCAATCATGCATACATCTTTGCATAGCAAGGTCTATTCGCACAATATGCGGCAAGAAAGGCAAATGCACCTTCATGACTAGATTTTGCACGTGAGGTTGGCGAAGCGGGGGAATGTATTGGGGATGGTGTGAACGATTGCCAGTTACTCAGAATTAGTTCACTTTCGTGAATTGCGAGAATATCGCGTTGTGTAGGTTGGCCACGCTGACGTGCCAAGGTTCTATGGTCGACCTCATACATCTTAGCTGCCTTTCGAATGCTTAATCTGGATTATTCTGGATAGCTTGGAAGGCTAACTGTTTGTGCCTTTCGTTAGATTGTTTCCGCATAATTGGGTGTTGAATTGTTAGGTTGAAAAGGTCAAGGTTGATGCGTTCGGTTAATTTTCGTCAATTCGGTGGTTTGGTCAATTCAGGGGTGGATTACGTTAGGCGTTTCTCATTTGTAGTGCATCCATTATCTGTTGTGATTACCTAGTCGGACGGTAATGGGGTGTTTTCCTACCAAGATGAGAGGTGAAGCTGAGGATTTGGCGGGAAGGGCATGCAAGGCGGAGGGGGCGTTGCGCAATGGGAGCTAGAAAAGAAAGCGATTGGTCGTTAAAATCGTTCTGGGTTGAGCCCGGTAGCCCGGCGGCCGTCTCGGCGTCGTCGAGATTATTGTCGTGCTCGGTTGCGATCTGTGTCTGTCCAAGATTAGGAAGGAACGAAATTGACGAAGGTATCTGGCGCACCAGGCTGGCTGAACATGCCCCATTCCATGTTCTGTTGGGTCGGTTTGGATCCTCCAAACATGGCCATGTCATTCTGGCTCTGAGGCATGCTGTAGTTGGCGAGCTGCGGGTCGATGTTGCATGTCACGGAGTTCTGGACATCGCCGCCGTACATCGAGCCGCCACCGGGCATGTTTTTTCGGTCGCGGCCATTCTCGTCCTTCATCCTGGTCATGCTGTTGGATCGCGAGACCTGGTTCCGGTCATTGGCCATTCCGGGCATCCCGTAGTTTATGGGGACCATGCTGAAGGGGTGAACCATGCCATTGTCGCCCTGCATGCTGTTCATGCCGTTCAGCTGAGGCATGTCGCCCTCACTGGGCTCCTGAGCATTGTGATTCTTCTTAACATGGGCCTGGGGGTGCGACAGGTGGCTCGCACCAGTGGGATTTCCTCGGCGAGTAGAACACTTCTGGTAGTGGCGCTTGAGGATATCACTACGAGAAAAGGTATCACGGCACAACACGCACATGTATGGGCGGTCGCCGGTGTCTTGCGCCAAATGTCAATCATATGGACCACGCGCTGGGCACTAGCAGTAGGAGGGGGCTTACGGCGAAGAAGGTGGCGCTTCAGGTGCTTCGCGTGGAGATAGGTCTTGTTGCAATGCGGGCAAGGAAACTTGCCATCGGCGTCCTTCTGCGGGATTACAGCATTATCGGACGCACCGCTACCGGTAGGAGCAGTGAGACGGCCGGGCGCGCTGGAGAGGATTCTGCGGCGCCCCTGAGAGCCAACGACGTGGGTCGGCTGCTCGTCCGGCTGCAGTATGGACTGCTGGTGAGGCATGAGGGAGCTCTGACCGGACGGCGACGACAGACCTGACGTGGGCATAACACCTCTGGCGGGCATGGGGCGGGGTACGGGCGGTCTAGAGGCAAGAGCCGGAGTAATCGGCTTAGGGTGGGACACAGCAACAGAGGACTGATGCATCATGGAAGACGAGGTGCCGTAACCCTGGTGGAGCTGAGGATACTGGTTGGCGATCAAGTTGGGATAGTCATCTCGGCCAGCGCCTTGCGGGGCCGGCCGAGGGTAGCTGCTCATGTTAATCTGAGGCTGTGGAGTCCCACGGCTCCCAGGCATAGTTCCCGGCGTGTGATGCTGGCTGCCGTAAATGGATTGCATAGCACGGTTCTGAAGCTGCAGAGGTGGCGGAGTGTGGGGTGCAGGAAAGGGGCCGTTCTGTTACAACTAGCTGTTCTGTAGCTGACCAGGCGAGATTGCCAGGCAGCCCAGCATGTCCCCACAGCTCTAGGGCGGCAAGCACGGCTCGGCGCTAGCCAGGCCCGAACCACAAATCTGGGTCGCTGTAGAGCGACCAGGCGACCTCAAGCAGCTCGGGCCCCGGCTTGGGCGCCATATCTCCAGCACCGTGTCTTGTAGTCGTGAAGTACTGTATGATCGGGCATGTGACCGTCGTCTTATGGTCACCTCCTATTTCAATAGAGGGCAAGCCATCCGTCGCACGGTGTCGCGGCGGCGGCGCAGTCGCCAGGATGCTACGGCTCCGCCCCTCATCTTGGTGGTGACAGTGGTCCCTAAATATGGGTTATCCCCTACTTTCGCCAAGGGTGCGACTCCTAGAGTCAGATGACATCTGTCGCTTCAATGGCACCTGCCTCTTCTTCGGCCTTCAAATTGCTATGACTGGTCTACCCAGACTCTAATTCTCCTGCAGAATTGCATCTTCATATCGCTCCTGGAGAAAGGATCGCTGATCGTTTCTGCTGCTGCCTGCCCTGTGCTCTCCCCCTGCTCCTCGTGCTGCCGATACCTGCCCCTCAACACCATCCTGAGCAGCGCCCCATCACACCACTACCCCGCCACAGCCCATGCCAAGCGAGCAAGCTGTTCGCCTTCCCCGACATCAGCGTCGTGGCACCCGGCATCCGATCGTACATCATATCGGCGCAGAACGCGGGTATCACGCGCCACGGGGCTTTGAAGGTCGGCATTTCCGCCGGCTCGCTGCCCAAGACGCTGGCGCAAGCACTGCTAGCCGAGGCCGCTTCGGATGACGACAAGGTGCGGCGGGACAAGCGGGAGATCTTCACCGACGAGAGGGCCGTGCTGCTGGATCACGAGGACAGCAACGATGGCCTAGTAAAGAGGGAGCTCTTGGACAAGATCCCGACCACACCTGCAGTCAATTCTGAGGAATTAGCAATTGTTCAATATATGATTGACCTAGATGCAACGGGCGGTCTCGATTCTGGTGGGCAGCCTCGTGTCTTGACACCTACCAAATATGCTAGTCTATATAGCGCAAAAGGTCCCCCGGCCGCCAGGCCAGAGCCTGGGCGCGCCGCCATCACCCGTACGTGAAGTTGTCCAAGACGTGCAGTCCGCTGCCGCTGTGCTTCGCGCGTGCCCTCCAGCAGCGCCCCAGAACATCCGGACCATCTCGGCCACGCCGTGGATGCCGTGTGCGATACCCTCGAGAATCTTATAAAGGTCATCAGGAGAGATAAAGTAAGCAGACCGATAACTAGGATGTCGAGCCTTGCGCTGCATGCCCTCTACAAATTTGCACATAAATGCTACACGAGCACTTTCACTATTTGCGCGGCTTAACTGGGTTGCACATTGAACCTACACTAATGTCATTACATAGCCACTACCAATCTTCCAGGCGACCCAACCATTTGACCCGGGAGCCGTAGGATGTTTTTAGTCCCAAACGATTTCCAACTTAGCTAGGACGTGGTACTCGACGAATTCCTCACCGCCTATTTTGATGGAGTTCCCATCACTTACAAGCATTCCCTCAAATGGACCAGATCGTTTCCGTTCATACTTCAAACAGTGCTTAGGATCATAAAGTACCATCTGCTCCGGCTGATTGGGAGTTGAGAACCCGCTAACGTCCTCACCTAGGCGCAGGAGCTGTTCTGAACTTGTTTCTGTTGATAGCGATGGTTGTAAAGGTGTAGGTAGTGGTTGATCTTCATCTGTACTTCTACAGCGAGGCGGAGGAAGGCAGCTGAGATAGGACGGAACCTCTGCATTCTCGATTAGCCCTATCGGTAGTAACTGCAAAGACCAACTAACGTTAACCTATTTCAGCGAACGTCTCATTGATAGAGATTCTGCCATGTCTCCTAGCTCTTTCTTCGAATCTGTTGATATTCTCCGTATCCACAGGAACACCATGCAAAAAAAAAAAATGAGATACCTCTATCAAGATTGGCCATCTGGTGTTCCCTTTTCAGCTTAAGTATGGCCATATACCCTCTTGTCTTGATGCGTTTGTCGTCGATACCCCACTTGGCAAACTGACTCTTGTATTGATCCACACTATTATGGTAAATCAATGGCTATACTCCTTACTTCATAATCTAATTTTCTTACGTTGCTTTGAAGGAATGGAATGTTTCCATGTACTTCATCAATTCCTTTAATGTTGAAATACGATACCGATTGGTGATAGATTCTTTAAATGGCAACCAATCATCTTCAGACACTGGCTTGATTATCAGGTCTTGCCGACTGGCTTGAGAGAATTTCGAAGACATTTTTAATGTAGCGGGGATGGGGTGCGTATTGAATCAAGAAACGAATTTCCATTTTGATGGGCAGATAGAAAACCATGGAGAGCACTCTGGAGCGAACCGATTCTGATTGGATAACACAATCGTCTTGCATTCACCACCGAATCAGCGAACTGCCTGTGAGTCCACCTGAAACCCCGCACTTCAGGGGAGCGAGTTGCCCGAAAACATGCATGGTCCATGACCATTTTGGTGCTACCCATTCAAATCATGGAAAAGACGACCGCTCCCAGCGAACACTATGGCGGCAGTGGTAGCCGATCGTGCCCAGGTGTTGTTGGCCACGCCAGAGCCGGCGCCCTTCGACCGTGGTGTACGGGTGGACGATAATGCGTATGGCCGGCGGTGGCGTGAGTCGCGGGGTGGGCGCCTCACTACGTCGTTCTTGGCCACGCCGAAGGCCTCGGCTCGCCGGGCTCTATTCGTCGCGAACTCGTCTATATCTATCTAAAGCTCTTCGTTCTTCCTCGGCAGTTCCGACTGTTGCTGGTCCACTTCCGCAATGTCCTCGACCAGCTTAAAGCAGTCGTCCGCCTGGTTCGACCGCTCCGACTCCGGCTTACGGTATACCTCATTCAGCTTCTGGCAGCTTTCCATCAGCCTACGGCGTTACTTGTCTACCTCCCAGCCTACGTCCGCCGGCCCGGACCGCTCCTCGGTCGTGTTCCACTGCTCCAGCCAGGCCGGTGACTTTTCGGAGATAGGCCCAGTTACCAACCCCATCAAATACAGGCGCGAGATATCGGGCCTCTCGATAAGGGGCTGCGGCCGTAGGGCGTCGGCTTTTTCAGTATCGAGACTATCGCGGCCTAGCAGGGCGCTGCTCTGGGACACCGGTCAACCCCGCCGGGGGGGGAGGTGGGGGGGGGAGCGGGTCCTGGTTGTGCGACGTATCTGTGGGTGGCGCTCTGGGCCGGCTCTAGTGGCCTCACCTTGGCCGGCTCGCTGGCGGTGTAAGAGCTTTTGGGTCTCCATCTGTAAAGGCGTGGACGAACGACGGGTGGGCCACCGAAGGCGGGTTTGTCCGTAGGCAACAGGCAAAAACACAGGAACAAATGGAGCAGCCACAAAGATGTGGACAACGGCCGAGACTGAACACAGACCCGAGAGAAGCTGGTCAGAGCCTGGCCAGCAATGTAGGCCATTCATACGTGGACATGTGTGTTGGCGAGGCCCAGCGATGATGGAGCCCGCCGCACCAGCAAGGATCTTGTCGCGAAGGACGGCGTACAGTTTGAGGCATGTCTGTGTTCATTGATCTGTCCTGGCGGTCTTGAGGCCGAAGCTACTGTTATGTACACAGATGGAAGTGGCAAATATGCTAGGCTGCAGAGACTAGAGTGCTGCCTAATGGATCATTCAGATACCCAAGTCGAGGTGCAGCGGCGTTGAGTGTCCCGTGTTACGTGACAAATCTCGTTCAGACAAGCCTGTGTACCAATTTGTATCAAGAATAGCGGCATGATATGTAAGATGAGGGCTCTGTCACGTAGGACGGCTAACGGTGTGAGGCGTGTTTATGCTTGTTGTTGTCCCGTCCCCTCTCCGTGGTGATACGGGGAAATATCAGGCGTCGAAATATCAGCATCAGGCGTTGAAATATCAAGTGGATGTCACGGGGCTTTTTGGCAGGGCAGTTGGCTGACAACCCCGCAAAAGCGGTTTTTTTTTTTTTTGTCCGCCATAACATCAACGCCACCGCACCGGGTAGAGCAATAACCATGCATACCGCGACAACGGCTTTAGATATCGAAAAACTGACTGCACGAGCGTGATCGGCGCGACTGAGGCTTCACTTCCGTGTATTTTCTACATATATATTTTATGAGATTTTGGTGTTGTGGCCACGGAGTGTTTAAAATAGGCCCTATGGCAGCTCTGACACGCTAATTCGGCTGCTACGCTTCAGGGCCAACACACTACAAATCCCAGCTTCTTCCTACGAATCGACCATTTTCGAAAACGCTGCGTTCTGCAGCCAATTTACACTTTAATTGGTCAATTTTAAAAAGTCCTTGAGTCCCTGTAAAAACGGTATCATGGAAGGAGCTTAGATTTGTGAGGTTCTATGGACTGCCACGCCACCTCCGCTGCCACGCCACCTCCGCTGCCACGCCACCTCCGCTGCCACGCCACCTCCGCTGCCACGCCACCTCCGCTGCCACACCACACACACCTACACCACTTACACGCTCCCTTGGGCCAAGGCTGACTTCCGCTGAGCCCTGATGGCCTTCATCACCTTATTTAATGACGCCGTACCTCGTTCTTCGTCCATTTGCGCAGCCACGATGGCTTCAGAATAACCTGAAGCGGCTGCCCTGCGTGCCACTTCGTCTATAATCGACTTGCGTGTACAGAAGTAAGGATTTTCCGTCGAGGGCCGCCAGCGATGACCCCAGCGTGACTCTAACGCGTCGACTGAAGGCATCCCCGCGATGCCTTGCCTCCAGAGGCGTAGCAGCTGGGCCACGGAGTTGACGGACCTAGGGATTGTATATAGGACCGCCGGCGCCGTGGCGTCTTCTGCCGGCGCCGTGGCCAGTGGCAACGTCAACAGCCCCGGCGCTGGCGGCGCCGGCCTACTCCCATCTAATGCCACCACATCTGGGCGAGGTAGTGAGGTCTGCGCTGCTGGCGCCGGCGCTGCCGCCCGGTCAAAGAATTGGAATTGCTGAACGGCACGCTGTTCAGCCGGAATAAACGTCGTGACCCACTGGCCGCCAGCGAAGCCCATGAAGTCACCATGGAGGTCCTGGAGTACCCTCATAATAGCCTCGTTCTGCGAGGTTATTATTTGCCGGCTATCCAGCTGAATGGAGGTCAGTTGCCTTAACTTCTCAGCCATAATCGGAACTGCCTTCTGAATAATAACGGTCTGAGGGTCCTCGCGAAGGACCGCAGAAGCTTCACGCACCCTCACAGAAAAATCACGGAATTCAGCTGTGTGGAAGATCTGGTGCCTGAATAGGGGATGGCCACCAAAGTCAGCAATTAGCAAGGCTAGTTCTTGAAGCAAGACGACGCGTAGCCACTCAAGCAGCACAAGGAAGGCGCCGGTGGCCTTATGGACCTCAATCCCATTGGCTTCCATTAGCCGCTTCCACGTATCTAGCTGCGGCCACACCTTGGCGATTAGACCGGGCGGCGGCGCGACTGTTGATCTTGCAATAAAATAAGAACCGGCCCATTCCGGTTCGAAATCAGCAGTGGCCCTCATAAATTGGCGAGGTAACGAGGTTAGATAGCAGCCGGTCATCTGATCATTATTATTCCAACGGCCGGCGCGCCGGATCTATAGACCATTAGCTTGCCTGAAGCCGGGATTCTCAATGAGGCTAACGTAATCCACGGGTAAGCGGGTCACACGGGTGAACGGGTCACCTTCCAGTAACTCGTACGACAATATATAAGACAATTTAACCACAACGCCTTAAATCAATTCAAACTATTCAGAATCCTCTTCTTCAGAGGCAGATACAACTTTCTGACACGTACGAGCATTATGACCGGGCTCGCCGCAGACGCCACATCGTCGCGCGCGCGTTTCGGGCCTCCTCGTACGACCACTATTCTGACTCGTTTCCGCTATTAACTGCTGCGTCGCATCGATTTGAGCCTTCAAATCCTTTGCCTGATCAATCGTGAGGGACCCTCCTTTCTGTAGCTGCTTTCTTTTCGTACGACGACGGCGGCTGAGGCGGTCATTTGCATCTCGAAGTTCGGCGAGCTCTTGGCGCATAAGGTCCTGCTCGTGTACCATCATTATAACTCCTTTTCTCAGCTGCCGTAGGCTCTCAACAATGGACGACGGTGAGCTATTCTGGTGTCGTACGATGCGATTTTCAATATACTTCGTCTGCGATTCGGTCTCAATTAGGTTGTTCGGCGTCTTTGAAACCCATGGGGGTGGTAGTCCAGCAGAGGAACCTGGTGGTGTCGGCGTATGAAACTTCATATCTAGCTGCGAAATCACATAATTCGGGTCGTACGGTACTAGGCCTGTCGCTCTGAAGCCTGCCTGGATGTTTGATTTGGTCATTGCAGCGTCGTACGCCTTATAAAAGGCTGGGAGGAAGTCCTCCTTTGAAACGTGGGTTACGTGCGCCCGCATTAGACCTTCGATTTCTTTACCGTACGCCCGTTTCAGAGGTCCAAAACACCCAACATCGAGAGGCTGGAGCTTATGCGACGAATGAGCAGGCATACAGAGCGTGACAATATTCTGTTCCTTGCAGTAGAGCTCGAAATCGACGGAATGGTGGCTCTCGTGGCCGTCGAGGATAAGGAGGCGGTGGGTACCCTTCGTACGACTCTTTGTATGGAAATCAAAGTGTTTTACCCATCCTAGGCCTCTCTCGTTCGTCGTCCAACCGTTTTCTGAAAGCGCGATTACCCAGTCGGCCGGTAGAGGGCTATTCGCGGTCCAGGAGTCGAGGTGGACCTTCCCGGCGAAGATAATGTATGGCGGGATTGAATAGCCGTACGACGCGATACCCTGGATTACTGTAACCCATTCCTGATTGCCTTGTTGTACGGCTCTTGGCCTCCCGCGTCGATCGGAGGTCGTAACGACAGTTTCGGCGGAGATCTTGCCCATCGCGAAGCCCGTTTCGTCGAAGTTATAGATATCGTCATCGTGGATCCCGTATTTCGCGATTATGTTTCGTACGAGCTCAAACCACGCGCGATACGCGTCCGGATCCTCGCAAAGGACCCTCTGGTAATCGATTATTCGATTAAAACGCGTACGGAGCTCAGGTCGTCGTCGTACGAAGGTTGAGGCCCAGTTCGTTCCAACGCGTGGCGCGTCGCGTACGCGGAGGAGTCGATCCGCCATTTCTCGAACACCACTTAACCGCGGTGGAAACGAACGCGAATCTAGGTCGAGTACGTATCGTACGATACTCTCCTCTTCGTATGAGGTTAATTTCTGGCAGGGTGGTCGGGTGTCGTGTTTCGCAGCTCGGCCGTGGTATCGTTGCTGGAGTGTCGTACGAGATACATTATAGATCTGCGCAGCCTTTCGTACGCTTAATTTTGGGTCGGATTGGAGCGCATTTAACGCTAGAACCAAATCACTTTCAATTGATTGTCGTCCCATGATTGGAGGTGGAGAAAAAGGAGAAGGAAGTGAACCTCAATTAAATTGCAGTAAAGTGACCCGTTCACCCGTGTGACCCGCTCACCCGTGGATTACGTTATTCCCACTTACTTGGCCTTCAGGGACCCCCGAGATATCAGCGTTTTGCGAGCTAGCAACCCGCGGCGCGTGAGACACCTTTGACGTGTTAATCCCACATTTATCATAGAATCGACGAGTCCATAGGTTTGGCGGTTTGTGACGATAATTGGCCAGTTAAGCCCTGGGGGCCGCGGCGAAGCAGCTTGATATTATACCAATTAGCAACGTCGGTGAAGTCAGGGAAGTCCTCGCCTTCAACCGACCAGCGCCAGAAAAGGTATATTGCAATAGCGCCGACTAGGCACGTTTTCGGGTCACGATGGCGGAGGGCAGCGCCGTATTCCATCCGCCCATGCTGGTTGGTTTTGCATTGCTGCGTTAGGATAACTAAAGCCTTCGTCGGCACCCGACTGCGATCGGAAGTCTGGACGCCTTCATTATATAAATAGAGGCAAAAGCAGTCCGGAAGCTCGATCGGCAGCTGCCGGTTAGAAGACCGGAATAATAAGTGGTTGCCAAGCAGGAAATCCACGTGCGTGCGGAAGGCGCCGGCGATCTCCTTGGCCTCCTGCCACACCGCGACAGCGTGGTGTATAATATGGGCCGGCGTATAGGAATCCTTCAGCGTGCCATCGCCTCGATCGCCGAGCTCCTTCCGCTTCTTGGCCCACGCAGTACGCAGCGTGCCTTTCAGGAGGGGCCTCATGGCATAGCGTTGCGGCCGCGGCGCCGGATTACGCTGCTCAGAGCGTTGCTTTTCATAAAGTTGCTGAATTGCTGAAACGTAGCCCCTGACAGTGTTATAGAGCAGTGTGATCTCGCCCTCGTTAAGTTGCTCTGGCTTAGCCTCATCCTCATAGCCTTCAGGCAATCCTATCGCCGTTGCCGTTGCCGCCTCCGCCGCCGCAGCGGCCGCCCGCTTCCTCGCCGCCTCGAGGCGCTTGCCTTTCCGTGGTGCGCGCTCCGCCACGGACTTCATGAATAGCAGAAGCTTCGCCTCGTCGACGAGGTCGCCGGGCAACGCGCCGCCTTCCCATCGGCGCGGGTCCCAGTCCGCGGGGATGGCGGGATACCTACGCCTGCACCATTCTGCCCACTCGCGCTGCTTCGGCCGGTAGTCCTTGGTGGTATTAATAGGCTGGTGATCCTCCTTCTCCAGAAGAAGCTTCCTGACGTAGCGGTCATGCTCAAGGTCGTGATTGAAGCCTTCAACAAGGCGCGGGCCGGCTATAGCGGTCGCCATTGGTGGATGGGACGCGTTGCGAAGAGGGGTGACCGCGCCGCGGCGCCCCGCGAAGCAGCGCAGCGGTCAGAAAAGCCGGAAAACCCAAGGATGGCGCAGCGAGAGGTCCTTCAGAAAACGCGGCTTCAGATCCCTGCAAGTTGACCCTTTTGGTGTGTTGGCCGAAGGTCCACAGCCTTCGGAAAAGGGCCCAATTTTGGCGTGGAAGTAGTGGGGCGGGCAATTGGCTCGCAACTATAAGTGGGGGCCGGTGCTGATACACCACAGAACTCAAAAGCGCGGATGTCGCCCCTGAATTTAGCCGAACCCACGCGATAGCCTGGAGGAGCAGTGGTTAGCGGAGTCAATCGTCGAGGCTTCAGGGTCACGCGTAAAGCATACCATCAGTGGGCGTCGTCTCAACAAATTCCCCTCGCTGCAACCTCAGCAGAAGAGCCGACTTTCCCGCATTGTCGAGTCCGCACAAGGGAATTTGGGACAGAGAACCTGCGCAAAAGTTGGGACGGAAGAGAGAAAATATGTTCCCCATGTGTGGCAAGTTGACTCACCGCTCACACGCATCCGGGTTCAGGATGGGGAAAGCTTGCAAGTGTGAATAGGTGGGGATTGTGCATGAAGAATGGCCGTTCAACATCACGAAAGAGGAGGCTCATCTTGATTACCGACCAAGTCACATATACTGTATTCCGCCGTAAAGGTGCGATGTAGTAAGGCCATAAGAGAGGCTACTGCGCCGCACCTTTTACCTCGCCCCCGCGAGCAGGGACAGGCCGGGCGCAACAGATGGATGCCTAACGAGGGCTACCGGTCACCACATCCCCGATTCCCTCACAATGTGTGAGCCATTTCTCTGTAGCAAAAGCCACCCCGGTTCCGGCCAAAACGCCCATGCACCTCCGAGGAAATGTTTGATGTTTCAGGCACCGATGGCAGCAGGCTAGCCGAGGCGAGGACTGAGCTTTGGGGGTTGCTAAAGCTGAAGAGTGACACGGAGTGCCAATCTTGATCCTTGCCAACAAACAAGACTTAGCGGTAAGAAAAATCGCTTAACATCTTCATCCTAGCCAAACTTTAATTTAGTCAGCCCAGTTTACTAATTACTCCGCTGCTATAGAGTTCGATGAGCGCTAGCGAAATCGCCCGCAAGCTGGATCTTGATGGATTGACAGATAGACCATTTGTGAGTAAATGTTTGATATCATTCGTAGTCGCTATCTTCGGTTAATCTATTAGATATAGCTAATTACTAGCTGCAACAGTACATCCAACCTACTAGCCTAGTAACCGGCGATGGACTCCACCCAGGGACGAAATGGATACTTCAGGAGATCCAGCGAGGATATGCATGAAGTTCAGCACGTTTTGAAAGATCCGAGAAGGATCTCTGCGCTGCGTCTTCAGTGGAGTTATAAATTGTTGGAAAAACTGGGTGTTCTGCTAGATAGGAACAAAGTTTCCCCTTTACTTCAGTTGCTTACTCTATCATATTTGTCTATAAAAGACCTGATCTCCTCCATGACGGAGACGGAGAGAAGATTGAATTGAAGAACACTTTTGCACTCAGCTTTGACTGCGCAATATAACAACATAAATAGCCAACCCTGCATCGTGTATAATGAAACGGTCATGCCAGGCCTATTCCGACTGCATGCTGGTGACGCACGGAAATATGCGCAGTTGCAGGTGATGATGCAGGAAACAGGTGACGGACTACTGAGGCGCACAAAGATTGCCAAGTCCAAGCATGCCAAGGAGCAACCTGTGGCATTTGCATATATGAGGTGTCTCTATTTGATTGGCACGCGCAGACGGGCGGAGTAATCCTACAGGTACCAGCCAGGTATAAAGAAGGGGCAAATGGCGATCCTCACTTCTATGCGAATATCAGTCATGCCGGCATAAAACCAATCAACAAAATGGACAGATACAAGTGCATCTACGCTGACTACCCGAAGGCTGCCACAAAGAGCCGGGCGGCTTCAACTGCGTGGATGTCAACGGAACGATTTGTCTCCGATGCATCGTAAGGACTAGTTCTCCATGAAGGCTTTTACTGATCTAAGCAGGCACGAAGTTACCCGCGGGTCTGATGTCTGGTCCTTGGCCAACTAGGCTACATAGATAGACGACTAAGCCGTCCGAATTCCCCTGCCTCGTTGCAGTCTGCGCCAAAATTCTCTCTTGTCAGCTCCGCGTAGCTTACCGCCATGCTAGGGCGCCACCTTATTCTACACGGTTGCTCTCCAAGGTTGTCTATCAAGTCGGCCGCCTCCTCTTGACAAAGATGCCATCCAGGTTGAACTTTTGCATGTCGATATTATCGAGGGTGCATTTGGCTCTGATCTCATGCGCAGCACGTTTGGGGATGACGCCAATATTGGCCTGCGCTTGTGTCAGTGCCGCCTCGAATGCTAAGGTAGCATTGCACACGATGCTCGTCTGTGAAGACGCGACGCATATCCTCCGAGCTGAAGATGTCGCGGAATATGATAGAGTCGATTGCTGTGAACGCTGCGGCTGTTCCCTCGTGACTTCGTTAACCTAGATCAAGTCAATCCACTGCCGCTGTGTCCAGTATATATGTACTGGATAGCCGCGCTGTGGCAGCCTGATAAGTGTATCCGCCAGGGAAGTCCAGACCTCGTTGTGGTCACATTGCCAGAAGGCCTGCGTCCTTGGCGAACATGGCATCCAATTCCCACTCATGGACAGATTGGTAGTCCAGCAGATGCGTCTTGACTTCTTCCGGAATGCGATTGTACGCACTCAGCATGGTTTCAGCCTCTTACTGGGTATCGGCGATGGCAACTTTGGTGATGGCGAATACCAACTTGGACTCAGATGGTTGAGTATCGGGGATCTCAGTGGCCCTGAGTTTCTCTGGCCATATGACTGCGGCATCGAGTTCTGTCACCTCTTCTGGTGTGACTTTGGACTGCTCAATAAACCACTTCATCAAAGGCTTGTAGTGGTTGCCCAAATTGAAGACGATATCTTGGATGTGCTGGCCGGTAGCCAGCCTTAGGCACCCATCTATACCAAAATAGAGGTCGTGGGCATCATTTGATAGCTAGCTGCCTAAAGCTAGGATTCATATATACATACAGAATCGGGAGGGCAATGAGGGGGAAAGCTTCGTACACCCTGGAACCATCATCATGTCCCAGCCCAACTCTCCATGTGGCTCAGTAAGCAACCAACGATGATGAAGCTGTCAATTCCGTCCTTGAAAACGACTCCGGCAGAGTCAATCTGATAATTCAAGATCACCTTGGTCTAATAGCACAGGCACGAGAATTGGCCGACATTATGGCGTCGGAGACGAGGCACTCTATAATCCTTTCGTACCCAAGGACCTTCACGACCAAGGCAAAAGGATCGTCCACACCAGGAGGTAGGAGTCGCTCAATTGAAAGGTTGTAGCGTGGCCGACGGCCCATGGTTTCTTGGCCCAACCGGACTTTAATTTCTTCGCTTGTTAAAAGCTCACGGAGTACCTGCTGGGGCTATGTCGAGGGCAGACATCCAGACTGCATCTTACGCCGCAGTGGGTAGACCAGGGAGGAAAACAAAGCTCCGAAATGTCGGAAAAGCTGAGGGTAGATTTATACGGTCAATCGAGAGCCGCCGGTTCCTTGTGTTCATGTATTTCTGGTGGAGGTTGGAGTGCGGTGTGGAGGCCATGGGTGTTGCGAATTTGATGCTTAAACCTGCTTTGATTCCTCGACAGCCGGGGAGGTCCGGAGGCCTCCCTCCGACGCGGGATTGAAGAGGTCAGCCCCCCGCCTGGCGTAAGCACAGCTCGGCTAGTGCCAACAAATTTTGGATTTGGATTTTCCCCTGAACGGAGGATACGGATAAGATGCTGAGGCTTCAAATGAGCGCTCAGTATTTCCTAGGCTGATCTTTGCGACAATCCGACACCAACATTGGCCCATTCTAGGGAAGGACATTAAGGGCGAACGGGCCACAGGCTGTACCGCTCCCGCGGCGGGGGCGGCGGGGGCGGCAGATTATCACTATGTTGCAGGATGTGGCGTATTCTGCTCCAAGTGTTGAATCCATGCATCCAGGCAAGCCAGGATCCCCTTTACTCGTTGCAGGCAGGACCTAGCCTAAAGATTGTGTCGGACGCAGCCGCTTCCTTACCACACTATTCACCGTCCTGTCCCCATTACTGGTGACCGGGCACGATTTTTGGTTCGCCACGCCCCCGAGCGTTGTGCAATAAAACACAATTTCTCTGTCGCGCATCGCAACCCCCAAATCGGTCAAAGGGAAACGGCGCGACATTGATTTCCAACAACAATGGCGCTCCTCGACCTCCACGAAGAAATCCTTGACACCATTGTCGCATACATTTCGGTGAGAGACAGAGTTGCTTTGCTCTCCGCCTGCCGAAAGTACTGTCAATCGTTCGAGCCAACTCATTATTGGCAGGATGCCCATGGCGAGAAACCATGTGCACTCCTTTGGGCCTCGGAAAATGGAAAGGTTCATACTACAATGAAAGCCGTCGCAGCCATCAAAGGCGCTCCCATCCCCCGCGGGATCGACGGTCGCAGGCCACTGTCGATGGCGGCGAAAGCAGGCCACGAGTCGGTGGTGGAGCTGCTCCTTGAGGCTGAAAGAGCAGATCCAAACGAAAGGGATGACCACGGCCAAACCCCTTTGTCGTTATCCTCCTTTATGGGACACGAAGGTGTTGTGAAGTTGCTGCTTTCGGCAAACGGAATCAATCCCGACCCCACCAATAATTATGGCCGGTCGGCGCTCTCCCTGGCTGCTGAGGCCGGCCGATTGGCGGTGGTAGAACTTTTGCTCGGCATCGAGGGGGTTGATGTGGACTCTAAAGACGATGACGGGCAGACGCCCTTTTGGTTTGCCATCGGCAAGGGACACGAGGGGGTCGTCAATCTCCTCACTGGGACAGCAAGGGTCGACGCCGGTGTGAAGGATAACGAGGGCGATACACCGCTCTCGTGGGCCGCCTGGAAAGGCAACCAGGCCATGGTAAAGCTCCTTCTGGCTACAGAAGGGGTCAATCCCAGTTCCAAGAACAAAGCTGGCCAGACTGCCCTCTCTCTCGCAGCCATGAGGGGGAATGAGGCGGTTGTGGAGCTCCTCCTCGCCACAGAGGGTGTGGACCCGGACTCAAAGGATAACTTCGGCTCTACACCGCTTATTTTTGCGATTAAGGGGGGGCATGAGGCCGTGGTGAGACTCTTGCTCCAGACAGGGCGCGTTGACGTCACCCATATGGATGATGGAGCCCAGACCCCGATGGCGGAAGCCGTGTGGAATCGTCATGCAGGCATCGTTCAGCTTCTAAACAGCTGGTTCGATATGCATGCAGTTAGAGATGGTTGGGATGAATGACTTGTTGTCTCGTAACGGTCGATCTCAAAGCTATGGAAATTGTTTCATGTCCATAGACCTGGTGCGTATACGTCTGGAGCAGCGCTCCTAATAGTGCAAATAGTGCGTTTGGAAGTCGCAAACTGCTCAATTAGTGCGTGTGACTCTGCTACACTGAACTACCAGTTCGTTTGACTTGGCCACACTAAACTGACAGTGTCCCTGGGATGCACAAACTGCACTATTGGTTTGCTCGTCCCAGCGGCAACCAAACTAATAGTACAAACTGTAGTATACTATTAGTGTGGACACAATATCCCGACTTGCGGCTGGCCCGCCCTTACTTCTAAGCTTTCTAACCCTTTCCTGAATGCTAACCATTGGAGAAAGTACCAGTGATTGCTGGATTGACATAACGACACTAGAATCCTTAGTTAGAGAATCTTGGAGCTTATGAAGCAAAAAAAAAAAACCTACCTCCAATGGGACTATCAGAACGCTCCTGTCCCAGGACCGTAGGCATTCCACGAGATTTAATGTTTCGATATTCATAGATCCTCGAAGGTCGGTTACCGAAAGTTCAGCCTTGGAGAAAAGTCGCTCTGTCTCTGTAGACATAGGTGCAATCGATAGTATGTCAATGGCTATCAAAGATAAGTTAGGGAACCGTCGTCGCTGTTCTGGCTCCAACCACCGTTTTAACGGATCAGATACCATTACCATAGGCTCACGGCAGTACCCTTCGTACTCGTCATCATCCATGTTGAAAATCGTAGCCTTTTGTTCTTTCATCCACATTTTGTCACCCATTTAGTCGCCTGGTAGTTGGCTCCTGTGCTGAGCCTGGTCGCAGAGCTGGCAAGGAGGTGGTTGATTTGTATGATTCCCTCCACAGCTGCCCCACCCGAGCTTTAGCTCTCTCAATGCATTCCGGCTTGTCCTCCCAAGTCTTCTCCATGTATGCCCACTTGAGGGAAGGATTCAATACCGTCGCTGCTGAATAGACTGGCGAATCTTCCGTCAATTCATAGAAGTCGGCCAGTTTTGCCCACGCTGTCTCCATCATTGTAGCCAAGTGAGTGTTAGTGGTGGCCTTCTTAGACGCCTCAATATGCTGCAAGAGATAGTCCATGGCAGGCAGAACGTCAGAGATGGAATTTTCCATGCCTTCGTTGGCGATTGTAGCGTCGTAAAATGGCTCGAGAAATTTGTGAATCTCCGCCAATGTTACCCAGTCCGAAGGAGAAAGAGTATCGTCTTGCAGAGCCGGCTCCTGAGCACAAAATATCGTGATGGCTTGCCGGACTTTAGGCCCGAGCATACTTGGGCATTGTAGAGTGAGCTCTACCCACTCTACCCGGGTAGAGTAGAGGAGACACCTACTCTACTCTTACACATCACGATATCGCCTCGCCTGCGTACATGACCAATGTCGAGCGATTCCGGCAGGGAGCGGCGGACCCCGAAGATCTCTTCGACGGACTCCGCCTCAAGAGCGGCCCCGCTACCTAGCGCAATAGTGGAGCACGCACCCCCCTCATCAAACAACCGATCCTCCTCTCGATGGGGTGGATCGCCCAAGGCGCGTTTGGGGTGGTAAGTCGCCACTGGAACGTCAGTACTGGGGAGGAATATGCCTGTAAACGGCCGTATAACAGGAAAGATTGGGAGAAGGAAATTGATATTATGAAAAAGGTTTCAGATGTAGGCAAAGACCTAACCATTATTGCCGGCGG